AAGAACAGTATAATTCAGGAAGCTACCTTGAACAGCAAAGTCGGAAAGTTAGGCACACAAAATAAACTTACATCTTCTATCCCCTAAAATATAAAAGTACTAAGTAGAATATTAAAAAAAACCTGGAAGTAAGGAGGTAGCATGCAGCACTGAGGTGACTGATTCAATGCAAATTGATTCACTGAAAATAATGTATTTTCTGTATCTATTCCTCTGGCTTTATGCATAGCTTAACAATAATACTCAGTTCGGTTCAATTTAACCATACAAAGTTCTACTTTCCTAGTTTTCATCATAAGCATCTTAGCGTGGGTGAAAAGTGGAATCTGTAGCCGAGTTCAGAAGCTTTACAACGCACTTTGCAAAGCTGTGTCATGACAAATAAGCCCGGCTTTTTTAGGACTCTTAGCTCTTTACAGTCTTGGACATCCATGATTTTTTTCTGCCTTCACAATTCACATAGCGTACACTTACTGTTTTACAAATTCACAGTGAGCCCTGGCAAACGCTCCAGCACACGCCGTCGTTACAAGCGGTCGTGCCATGCGTCCCAGTCTGAGCAGCGTAAGACACGTACGAGCAAAAGTGATGTCACACTGACAGACACGGGGGAAAGGAGCTGTGGGTTGAGTTTTTCTGAGCACATACACACCGCCTGTATTTTATTTCAGCTTTGAGGGGGAAAAAAAAGTACAAGAAAAATCAATCACTAGCAAACTTTTCCTGCTCTCATATCACATCATTAGACTGCATAATCCTATGTTTGATCTTCACCCACCTTCCCTGTGCAACACACGCTCTCAAATGCAATGAGAAGGATTTTGCACTCAAAACGAAGTGAGAAAGCCAGTGGAATACTGTGTGTGAACATACAGATTTAGGATGGCTAAAGAGAGCAATTAATAAAAAACAGCAACTACAATAGTCACTTTTCTGTTCATTTTAAAACACTGACAGCCACAGACTTTCCCACTAACCTCAAAAGCCAGACAGAAAAAAGATACCACTATTTGAAGATAATGCTGCCTCAAATTTCACCACCACCCCCCCTTCTCAAGCGCAGAGAAGCGCAGATCTGGGGAAGCTGAGTGAATCATTAGACACTGTATGAAAACCAGGCATCAGACAAAACACAAGAGTTAAGATAATGCAATCTTTGTTGACAATCCTGAACAGACTTGTAGTTACCGCCATCCTAATTTCGCTTCTAATCTTAATTTGAACTACCTGCTCAGAGGACAAAACTCTAGGCTCTTGTAATAAGCAAATTCCCCAACCACCAGAAACATGCGACAGGTCCTGGGAACCCGTGGTTTATAAAAGAAATGCTGACACTGCCTCAGCCAGCCCATCACAAGAATGCTGCTGGAATGAATTAACTGCGACCGGCTGGTTCATCCCCGCTCAGCAGCTGATGCTCCATCAGCATCAGGCACATCCAAACGCTGTCTGCTCGGGGCAGCCAGGACGTGCAGGACACAACGCAGGCTGGAGGCTGGGATCAAGGCAGTGCAGCCAGAGGCTAAACAAACTCTGAAGATGATGCTCTATATACTTCTGGAGTTCCTCTCTCACTAGGATTCAGAGAGCTACGCTTACCAGACAAACACAGCGCTTTAAAGATATGCTGTGCAAGAACTGAAAAAAGGAGAGTTACATTCGGTGCACGCTACTAAAAGCTGTCTGCACTTGGGTTGGGAAAATGAAAGGAAACCTCTATGCCAAGCTCCATTTGTTAATTTGTTTACCGTGTACACAAAAGAAGTTTGCTGAGGCCCTTGACCTTTTAATGTTAAGTAGAGGCCTTTAAAAAGAATACAGTGTTTCTGTAATTTAATCAGCAGTGGGGAAGATCCATGCAGTTACCCATTTTCTAATAAAGTAGCCAAAAATCTCAGAAATCCCATCGAATTGCACTTTAACAAAACCTGTCGATAGAATAAAATTAGGAATATAGATCAAGCTGTATCTGTATAACAATCCAGGTAAGCAGTACTTGATCTCCAACTTGTATTTAAAAAATAAACATGATCTTTTCCCCCTCTCCAAACCTCTCATAATTTTTCCTCTGTCCAAACCTCTCCTGAGTATTCTTTCTCCTCCTCCTCCTCTTCTCCCCAAATGCCCTGAACAGGCAAAACTACACAGACAAAAACCACAAAGTCTACTCCTACCAGTTCGATTTTTACTTAATTTCTGCTAATGCTTGTTTTCAAACCAACTTAGCACAGCCTCTTTGTTTACACTCAGTTTTCACCCCCGACACAACCAGCCCTTAAAAATTATCTTCTGGGGATGTTTTAAGTGAAACAAACACATCCTTGCCAACAGGAAGGGGGGGGAAAAAAAACCCAAAACCAACAACAAAACGAGAGAAACACCGAGATTACGGTATATAAACCAAATAAAGATGTCCGGACGCAATGAAATGCCACGTTTTAGGGTCCACCTGGAAGCAACAGGCAACAACCGACAGAGCCAGGCCGCGGAGGGGGAAAGCAGTCGCCCGGCCGGTGAAGCACCGTCAGTCCCGGCGCAGGACGGCCCCGCCGCGGGAGCGAAACCCGGCAGCTCCGGTACGCGCCGAGGGGTCCCGGGAAGGCCGAGGGGCTCCCTGGCTGGAAGGGTCTGAGGAGAGAGGCGGGTCTCCCCCCCCCACGGAGCCGGGGGA